TACTCTTAAAGCGAAAGAGCGCGAGGAACAGTTAGCATTTGAGCGAGCACAGCTCAAACAGAAGCTCGAATACGAATTAAAAATAGAAGAGTGTAAGAAGAATCAGGCAACAAAGGCAAGCGAAATCAAAACCAGCGAGGTACAGCGCACGAAGCTTCCCAAGCTAACAATTGCTAAGTTCAATGGTTCTTACACAGATTGGCTCCGTTTCTGGAATATTTTTGAAGCAGAAATAGACAGTTGCAGTGACTTAGCTGGTGTAACAAACCTCGCTTATCTGAAGGATCTCTTGGTTACCAAAGTTAGAGCCGAAATCGATGGCCTCCCATTCTCGAGTGAGGAGTATGAGCGCGCTAAAAACATCCTCAAAAGCAAGTATGGGAAAACTTCAGAAGTAGTTAATGCTTACGTACAAAACATAATGGCGTTACCGACGATAAGCGGTTCAAACCCAGTAAAAATCCATCAGTTTTATGAGAATTTATTGTTCAATGTGCAAGCGTTAGAAACGTTAGGAAAGCTAAAGGAAGTTAATGGGAACGTGAGAATGTCCATTGACAAGCTGGAAGGCATACGAAGTGATCTGGTGAGAACAGATGACGACTGGCAGACCTGGGACTTTCCGAAGTTCGTGGACGCCCTGCGTAAGTGGACGGAACGGAATCCTTTACCTGTCAAAGTCAATGACAAGAACCGGGAGCTCCCGAGCTTTCCAATTTATCAAACGCTTCAGGGGGACACGCCTTTGCGCAGCTGTGTCTATTGTGACAGCGCGGAACACCGGTCACACGAGTGCAGTAAAGTGACCCAGCCATCTCAAAGGAAAAGAATTCTCCAACTCAAGAGCCTATGTTTTAACTGCACGGGATCCGATCACAAGGTCACCGAATGCAGGAGCAGAAGAAGATGTTTCGTGTGCAAGCGAAGACATCACACATCGATCTGTGACAAAACGGAAATGGCAGAAAATTCGATGACAGCTTCTCAAGCAGGTGATGGCCCAGTGGTGTACCCCGTGGTTGTCGTAGAAGTCGCTGGAGTGAAATGTCGAGCTTTGCTGGATTCCGGGGCGGGCAGCTCGTACGCCTCAGCTGCACTCATTGAGCAAATCGGAGCACGATCTCATCACTCTGGGATGCGCAAGATAGAGATGATGCTAGGCACAGTTAACCGAACCATGGACATTTACCGAATCAAGCTACGCTCGCTCAAGGGAGACTTCGAGATGGAAGCTGACGTTACTAAAGTGGAGAAGCCTCAACTCATGATGTTAAAGAACCCCCATTACAAGAACATTCTAGCGAAATATCCCCATCTGAAGGGCGTGACCATGGATGACGCAGATGATAAAGCTCGCCTACCAGTTCACCTTATCCTTGGTAACAGTGAATGCCCCAGAATAAGCACCACCGAGCCTCAACGCGTGGGAAGAGAGTGGGATCCAGTTGCAAGTTTGGTTGGACCATCACTTCGCCGGGCCAGGAACTAGACACGACTAACATGCTTCTCACACAAACCTCTATCGTGGATTACGAGGAACTGTGTAAACTGGACGTTCTTGGTTTAGCAGATACCCCTACAGGCGATCAGAGTGTAGTGTACGAAGAGTTCAGGGAGCAGCTGCGTAGGAGCGAAGAAGGATGGTATGAAACTGGTCTCCCGTGGAAGGGAAATCATCCTCCCTTGCCAAACAATAAAGAACGAAGTCTGCGCAGACTGGCTTGTCTGGTACGGAAGCTAGAGAAGACGAAGTCCATCGGCGACTACAATGCCATAATTCAAGAGCAGTTGGCCGATGGAATAGTGGAGCGCGCCCCAAACACCGTCCAAGGTCGGGAATTCTATATTCCCCACAAGGGAGTGGTGCGTGAAACCGCTGAAAGCACCAAATTGAGGATAGTGTATGACGCCTCCGCAAGGGCCTGGGACAGTGCGCCATCTCTAAATGAATGTCTGAACACCGGTCCACCGTTACAAAACAAGCTATGGAGTGTGTTGGTTCGAGGGCGGTTCAATCCAGTTGCCATCACTGGTGATATCAAGAAAGCCTTTCTACAAGTCAGAATCCGACCAGAAGAAAGAGACGCCCTCAGGTTCCACTGGCTGAAGAACGTGGAGTCCAAGGAAGTAGAGACACTCCGCTTCACAAGAGCACTGTTCGGTTTGGGTCCCTCACCCTTCCTCCTAGCAGGAGTTATTGAGCAACATTTGGATGCCTGGAGCCACAAGCAACCTAAAATTGTGCGCGAGATCAAGAAGAGTTTGTATGTGGATGATCTAATAAGCGGAGGATCAACAACTTCCAAGGCAAGAGAAATGAAAATTGCAGCCACGGAGATCTTTGCTGACGCCGCCTTCGAGCTTCATAAATGGCATTCAAACGTTCCTGAGTTAGCCCCTATCGAAACCGATCAGAGTGCAGACCAGACCTTCGCCAAACAGCAACTGGGGATATCGTCAGGGGAGAAAGTTCACTGCTTGGCCTGAAGTGGGACAAGCTCAGAGATTTACTTAGTGTCACAGTACCCACCCCGAAGGTCGACAACACCAAGAGGGGAATTCTAGCCAAAGTAGCGAGCATATACGATCCCCTTGGAATGGCGTCACCCCTCTCACTTAGTGGAAAGCTACTATATCGGGACGCCTGTAATCTAAGAGTCGGCTGGGATGAGCAGTTACCCCCTGATCTTGCCAAACAATGAGCCCATTGGGAGTCAAGCCTGCCTGAAAGAATCCAGTTCGTGAGGTCCTTAGTCCAGTTCCAGGAGCCAATCATCAGCATAGCCCTTCATGTGTTTGGAGATGCAAGTGGGGTGGGCGTGGCAGCAGCAGCATTTACGGTGGTCACGCAACCCTCTGGAGTAACACAAGGGATAATAGCAGCAAGGGCAAGATTGGCCAAACAGGGCCTCTCAATACCGCGCCTGGAGCTAGTCGCCGGTCACATGGCCGCAAACTTAGCCACTAACGTAAAAGAAGTATTGGAAGGTCATCCAGTCGATCAAGTTTACAGTTGGTTAGACAGTACCGTCGCTCTCCACTGAATTAGAGGGAATGGTAACTACAAGCAGTTTGTGCACAACAGGGTGCTCAAGATTCAGCAGAAGCGATGGATAACGTGGAGACACGTGCCCACTAAGGAGAATCCAGCGGACCTGGGGAGCCGCGGAGGACAAGTAAAACAAGATGATGAACTCTGGTGGTGCGGGCCGAAGTGGCTGTCAGACCCAAGTGCTTGGCCAGAAGATATAACAACCACCGCAACCGCAGAAACATTAGCAGAAGCTAAGACGGTGAGGGAGATTTTCAAGTTCGCTGACAACAAAGACGTAACTGAGCTCGACGAGCTGCTTCACAAACACAACCTATGGCGTGTATTACGTGTTAGTGCGTGGATGGCGAGATTTATCCACAACAGCAGAAACCAATCATCAGAAAGAAAAAAGGGTCCACTAACTTCAGAAGAGCTGAAAGTCCAAAGACGATTCTGGGAGGGGAGAGCACAGCAAGAAGGGATGAAATCGGAGAAATTTGAAGAAGACCGCCGGCAACTCAACCTGCAGTTGAACCACAACGACCTCCTGGAGTGCCGAGGACGAATACAAGGTGTCTACCCTGTGTATCTTCCAGAAATAGCAGTCTACACCGAAAAGTTTATTCAAGAAGCCCACGAAAGTACTCTGCACGGTGGGGTAGGCATGACAACGGCCAAAGTGCGCGAACAACACTGGGTTCCACGACTCAGGCGCCTCGTGAAACGCGTTATCAAGAAGTGTGCTGGCTGTAAAAGATTCCAAGCAACAGCACTTGCCGCTCCACCTCCTGGGTTACTGCCAAGGGACCGAACAGAGGGAACCACACCCTTTCAAGTCATGGGAGTTGACTATGCAGGTTCCATCAAGTACCGAATCTCAAGCAAGCGAGAAGGCAAAGCGTACGTCATCTCGTACGCTTGCAGTTTAACGAGAGCGTTATATCTTGACCTGGCGAGGAGCTTGGAAACCAGTAAATTCCTCCTAAGCTTGAAAGGGCTAATTGCTAGGCGTGGCAGACCCAGCAAGATCTATTCAGACAACGGTAGTACCTTCATTGGAGCAGCAACTTGGATTCGTCAGGTCATGCGCGACGAGAAACTGAGCGACTTTCTTGCCCACCAGTAAATCTCCTGGCAATTCAATCTTAGCAGAGCACCCTGGTGGGGAGGCCAATTCGAGCGTATGGTGGGGCTAGTCAAAGGAGCAATGAGGAAAAGCATTGGAAATGCTCAACTGACCCATGATGAGCTGAAAGAAGTTCTATTGGATGTTGAAGTGGCTCTAAACAACCGTCCACTTTCCTATGTTGAAGAGGATGTCCAGCTGCCTGTGCTTACACCCAACTCGATGCTGTACACTCAACCAAACTCAATTCCGGAAATGCCACCACATCACGAAGAAGATCCAGAGCTCAGGAAACGCGCCAAATACTTACGAAGATGCAAGGAGGCCATGTGGCGACGTTGGACGAAAGAATATTTACGCGGTCTGCGGGAACGGCATAATCTTAAACACAAGAGATCTTCACGCAGTGTAGAGGTTGGAGATGTTGTAATCATCAGAGACGAAAACAAAGACAGACACAAGTGGAGACTTGGCATTGTGGAGGAACCAATAGCCGGGCGGGACGGTATCGTGAGAGCTGTTAGACTACGAGCTGGGAAGAAACATTTGGAACGAGCTGTTCAACAGTTATACCCGCTGGAGCTGTCTTGCGACATGTTGAAAGATTCCGCAGCCCCGAGTTCCATGCTGAACCCTGAAGCAAAAACCTTTAGGCCAAGGCGAGACGCCGCAGTTGCAGCCGGATTACGTGTCCAGGATATAGCAGAGCAAGAACAAGACTTTTAAGAACACTGAGAACTTTGTTTGCTTAAACGTTGACTATACTATTGAGTAGGAATTTTGAACTTTGGACATTTAGTATTTGCCGCCCTTCGGGGACAAATAGGGGAGTGTGTCATGATAGCTCCAATTTAATTGTGTGACAGATTATCCCATTTTTAAGTTGCGTGATTCAGGAAATCTAGAAATCTAGGAATAATAGAAATCGGAAGCACGTGCCTGACAATCTCAATTAGTTCAGTCGATGATTACCAGTTAATTAGCACCAGATTGTAAACGCGTTTCATCTTATCAACTAACATGTAAGCTTGCGTGTCAGGTAATATTCCGTGATCAAAGAAACTGTTTAGAAAAGGTTGTAAGCCAATCAAATTAGGTTTCGCT